AACCAGTAGTTTTCAAGTTATGCTCCGGACAAGGAAAAGTAACAAAGGGCAATAACTCTGTAATTAGTCAAGATGGAGTTATGGTTCTTGTGCACTGCACTTCCTCTCAATGTGCTTGACCATTGTATGAAGTTATATTGAATTCCAACCATTAGTCTTCAAGTTATGCTCCGGACAAGGAAAATGCAACCGACCGCTGGACCGACCGACCACCGGGTGACTCCTATATACCCCCCAAACTTCGTTTTTGGGGGTGTAATTATCTCCAAGGGTTTTCAAGTTATGTTCCGGACAAGACAACGGACGGACAGAAAAGACGGCAACTATATGCTCTCCCTTTGGGGAGCATAATAAAAACCTAGTTAATATTTAATGCACAGAGGAACAAAAAAATACATTATAGGAGTCGTGGATAGTGACCAAAGAATTTTGTCTAAAGTTCACAAAGGATCTTTTTTCATTCAAAGTCCATGCAAGAGTTATGGGTCTTTGAAAGTGACCTCCAATTATGATAACAGAATCATGTATCAAGTTTCATGTGAATACCTTCCAACAGTTACGAAGCTTGATGTTGCACGAAAAACTCAAACTAAGCTTTTTTCTGTTTAAAAAGGGCCATAATTCAGTCAAATCCATGGCAGTTATGGGCCCTAATGACTATCAAGTTTTAAGTGAAAACTTTTAGTTGTTTTGAAGAATACTGGTTCAGGAGATACATTAATATATAGATGATTTAGTCAAAATCTGTCTTAGAATTATGGTTCTAAGTGACTTTGGGTTAGGATCCAAAAGTCATGCATTAAGTGAATACAATAAGTAGTTATATGCAAGCAAAACTGGACCCATTTTTTTTAAAGTTCAAATCCATCCTAGAATTATGGGTCTTGGATAGTTACCAACTATCATGATCCTGAAAATGATTTATGTGTTAAGTTTCAAGGGAATACCTTCTGCAGTTTTGAAGAATGATGTTGCATGCAAAACTTCAAAAAGGCCATAATTCGGTCAAAATTAATGTTGTGGGTTTCAAATAGTGACCTCCAGTCCTATTATGCTCTTCAACAAGTGTGTGAAGTAACAAGCAAATATCATTGGTGGTTGATGAATGCGATTCATACCCATACCAAATTATCTCTGGTGAAAACAAGAGCCGGTTGAACCGGGTGATGCTCCCCGAATAGGTTTTGGACACAGGAAGGTATACCTCTTGTAGTGTCAAATTATGTCACAGGCAAAGTTCAGTGTAAAAACAACCTAAATGTTGTGCACTACACATTGTCTCAATATGGTGATCATTTCTGTGAAATAGTTGTAAAATCAGACTTCAAATAAGGAAGTTATGGGCTAGACATGATTTTGCTGCAAGGTCATGCTGTGACCTTGACCTTCAAGGTAGCGACCCAAATGTTGCATGTGACACGATGATTCAATATGGTGATCATCCCTGTGAAACAGTTGTTAAATCCGGCTTCAAGGAACGAAGTTACTGGCCGAACGCGATTTTGCTGCAAGGTCTTGCTGTGACCTTGACCTTCAAGATAGCGACCCAAATGTTGCGCGCGACACGTCATCTCAATATTGTGATCATTTCTGTAAAATATTTTTAAATACTAAATTCAAATAACGAAGTTATGGGCCGGACAAGATTTTGCTGCAAGGTCATGTTGTGACCTTGACCTTCAAAGTAGCGACCCAAATGTTGGGCGCGACACGTTGTCTTAATATGGTGATCATTTCTGTGAAATAGTTTTAAAATCTGACTTCAAATAACGAAGTTATGGGCTGGACACGATTTTGCTGCAAGGTCATGCTGTGACCTTGACCTTCAAGGTAGCAACCCAAATGTTGCGCGCGACATGTTGTCTCAATATGGTGATCATTTCTGTGAAATAGTTTTAAAATCTGACTTCAAATAACAAAGTTATGGGCCAGACACGATTTTGCTGCAAGGTCATGCTGTGACCTTGACCTTCAAGGTAGCGACCCAAATGTTGCGCGCGACACGTCGTCTCAATATGGTGATCATTTCTGTGAGAAATAGTTTTAAAATCCGACTTCAAATAAAGAAGTTATGGACCGGACACGATTTTGATGCAAGGTCATGCTGTGACCTTGACCTTCAAGGTAGCGACCCAAATGTTGGGCGCGACACGTCGTCTCAATATGGTGATCATTTCTGTGAAATAGTTTTAAAATCCGACTTCAAATAACTAAGTTATGGACCGGACACGATTTTGATGCAAGGTCATGCTGTGACCTTGACCTTCAAGGTAGCGACCCAAATGTTGCGCGCGACACGTCGTCTCAATATGGTGATCATTTCTGTGAAATAGTTTTAAAATCCGACTTCAAATAACTAAGTTATGGGCCGGACACGAGTTGGGACGTACGGACGGACGGACTGACGGACAACCCGACGACTATATGCTCCCCCGAAATTTTTCGGGGAGCATAAAAAGACTAATTTTACAGGTATTAGTATAAATATATATTGTCAAATCATGTTCGAAACAGTTACAAATAACCTTTCATTTTCCCAATGTACTTGACATTTTCTAAGTCAATTTTTGACCTTTAAGCGTGGCCTTGACCTTAAGCTGGCACAAGGGTAAGATGGGTTCTGCCCATTGCCCAGTTGGGTTGAACATTTGAGTAATGTTTGAAGAAAATCCTTCCATTAGTATAGTATTTATAGAGCGGACATAACATATTGTCTAGTATTGATTGTATGTAAATTTGACTTAAAAAGAGGCATTACTTTGTTAAAATGCAATACAGAGTTATGAAACTTGACCTGCATATCTTAATTGTGACACTTCATATATATTTTAAGTTTCAAGCAAATACCTTTTCTAGTTTCAGAAATATTCAAATACTTGTTAAAATTTAAGAACATTCTCTAAGTCAATTTTTTACCTTCAAGCGTGACCTTGACCTTAAGCCGGCAAAAGGGTAACATGGCTTCTGCACATAACCTTGTTGAGGTGAACATATGAGCCAAGATTGAAGAAAATCTTTCAATTAGTGAAGGACTTACAGAGCGGACACGACATACTGTCTAATATTTGACCTTTAATTGTGAACTTGACCTTGAGCCGACACATGGGCAACATGAGTTCTGCACATCCCCTTGTTGAGGTGAACATTTGAGCCAAGTTTCAAGAAAATCTTTCAATTAGTGTAGGACTTACAGAGCGGACACGACATACTGTCTAATATTTGATTGTTTGATATTTGACCTTCAATTGTGACCTTGACCTTGAGCTGACACATGGGTTCTGCACATCCCCTTGTTGAGGTGAACATTTAAGCAAAGTTTGAAGAAAATCCTTCAATTGGTATAAGATTTATAGAGCGGACACGAAAATGGTGACGGACGGACAGACGCGAATCCATTATAGCCCCCCCCCCCACATTTTGTGGTGGGGGTATAATAATTATGATGTTGCATGCAAAACTTTAACTAACATGTTACAATGACTCCAATGCCGACACTCAAATTAATACTTCGAAAAGTTGGGCTAAAAATAAAACCAACAAGTGAATATAGTCAGAAATTAATAATTTTTAATAATAAGCAGAAATCTCTCGTACAAAAAAAACTATAGATAAGACACCAGGAATGAGTGGGTCTTGCTCACTGCTTGCTTCCCTCCAGTTCTTACATGCACAATGTTCCATTTCTCAACAATGTTTCATTTCATGAAAAAAAGCATAAAATCTTGTAGAAATTTTTTTGACATAACATGCTTGTGTGGTTATTTGTACTTTTTTTCCCTCACTTATATCAGTTCTGAAATTATATAAATTCGCAACAGAAACTTTGTAAGGTTTTAGGCAATATTTACTTTAGTAACTTTGCAATTAATTCGAATCAAATACAGTGTAACTTCCGAAAACCGAACACCCATGGAACTTGTCAAAAAGTTCGGATTTCAGAGGTTTCCGGAATTCAGAGGTTCATGATAATGTGGACAAGACTAAGCCACTTAATATCACTAAATGTCAAGGAAGATGTGGCCATTACTGTAATATCATATATAATAGTCTTTTAATCAAGATAAAGATGTGAATGAAAAGAATACGTTTTTATCTTACCTGCAAATGCTCAGTTTGTAGAAATGTTGTTAATTGCATAAACTTACATATCGTCCGATGCTAGTTAATTAATTATTACATCAAATGCAATAAAATACCTAAAGACGTTTGATGCATACATTGTCCAATTAATTGTCATTTAATCCGCTAATAAACACTTCAAATTAACTGACCGCCGTAAATTACTTTGATTAACCGCATCACTTCAAACATATCATTTCACAGTTTGTGATTTTAACGCGTGTCAAATTACACGATCACCGCTAATTAGTAAACAATCGATAGGGAGATTAAATCTTCCTGCAGGGGAAACATTCTCGATTTACAATGTATTTCACACCTTTGGATATTTCCGGTTTTTGGAGGTAAAATTGCATTGATTTGACTCTAATTTTACGAAAACATCGTCCGGAATTCAGAATTTAGAAGTTCCGGATTTCAGAAGTATTATATTAATAGAAAATAGAAGGGAAAAAATCGGGACCGAAAAAATTGTTCGGTTTTTAGAAGTTTCCGGATTTCAGAAGTTCCGGAATTCGGAAGTTACACTGTACTTTTTTTTCAACAATTATAAAACTACCAACAAAATAATTAAACGTCATAAAAAAAAAACACATCTAGCACTAGAATGATGTCAAAAGATATATTCAAAATCAATTGGAAGTCGTTTCAGAATTGAGCATTTTAAATAAATAATTTAACAAGTCTTCTTAATAGCTAATTTCATTTCAAATTCTTTGCTTCAACTGATCGAACAGACGTAATTTTTCTCAACATATAGTATCTCCAATACAGATATAAAATTCCTGAAGGCTACAATTTCACCTTTGTGAATACTTATCTAAAGTACGCAGGAATAAATTTTTAGATAAATGCTGCACAGAATCTCTTCTTTTGTTAACAAACAAAATCTTCGTCTTGTTCCTGATAGTAAATCAAAGAAGATCAGAATATGTAACACATTTTATGGTTACAACGTTATACATGTAAATGTCGCTGAAGCAAAGAACGTGAAAAAATATATTCTAAATGGGTTTTTTTTTCAACAGTATCAAATATATATAAAAAAGTAAACAGAATGAAACAGTCAAGTAGGAAACAAAATGACAGTATATAAATATTATTGCATGAAACCCCTGTGATAAAAAAAATCGAGACTTTTTTATAGGACAAAAATCACAGGAAAAGGATGAAATAAATGTCAACGTCAATAGCACTATGGAAGGTTCAATTTGTGTCCGAAAAAAAAAAGGGGGAAGAAAATATAGCACTTTGTCGAAAAATATATGTATATATTTATATCACGTTTTGTTTTTTTTCTTCATTGGATTGTATAATCACAGTTGTCATAGAAAGCACTTTCTGGCAATGGCGTTCACAAAATCGATTATCGTGTGCAGCCAGCCGGTTTTTTTAAAGTCAATCTCTTCGTTAATCTAACATATGTACACCAATTTGTGAATCAAACATCATGAAAATTTTCCGATCTTGTTAAAGAATGTAACATCCAACAGTAGGAATAACACTTCCTGAAATTGCAAACTGTTTGAAACCCAACTTTCCTTGCATACGAATGTATTTGTTGTATTTGTCCACATTCTTCCAAGAATTTGATCCACACGGTGACACCAATCCATTTCATTGCAGTTTGTTGTAATTCCTTCTGTTTCCAAGTTGTTTTTTTTTTTTAGTTTCCTTTCCATTTATTTTCAACTGCAACGTTACTTTGGCTGATAATCTAGACAGTGCTTGTCCCAGGGTCCGTCCGTCTTTGTAGTAAATCGTCGAGTGTTTTTTATTTATATTTAATTATTAAACTCTCTCTCTCTCACCCTTTCTCCCTATAACCTCTCTCTCCTAATTCTCGAGTCTATCTCACTCAATGTTGTCTCTTGTCAGAAAATGTACCACTATATTGTAGACAACTATTGTTTGAAAGATGGTTGAACTTTTTTTTTTATTGTGTGTGTCAAAAAAACACACACTCGCTCCATACTTTACATCAGAAATCAAGGTAACTCTGAAAAACAAATCAAAATGTTCAAATTAGTAAAATAGACTATTTTCTATACATTTCTTTTTCCTAGTGTCAGTAGTTAAAGGGACTCAACCGAGGTCTGCTGGCATGGCTGGACAGGAAATATTTTTTTTATATTGATATTCCATATTGATGTACTATCATGTAGGTTTAGACCACTATTAAACTTGTGTGCAAAATTTCATTTCATTCCCTAACTCCGTTTTTCAAGAATAATTGTTCTAAATGTGACAAATGACCAAAAAATTGAAATGCATTGCAAGGCTTTCACTCAATTCAGGCCAAGAATAGCACAGAAATACAAATTTCAATTGATTTCATAGTATATTTCTTCAATTATCTTTTGCATATTTTTTTTGGTTTTAATTGCCTTAACTAATCTATGCTAGATATTCAATTCTATGTTTTTGGACTTTAAGACCTCAGTGGAGTTCCTTTAAAATGTTAAAGGAAAATGCAAAATACAAGATAATGGTGTTAAGTAACTACTTGACAGCAGCCAACATCATATCGATATCAGTATTTCACCAAGTTTGATGACACAATGTTATCATTCTGAGAATAGTATTACTAACAAATGTGACTGGCTAATCATTGTCTGTACTGCTTGCAAGGGGTAGCAACTACTGCCACCAGCAGACTGACGGTTAAAGCTTGATCATCATATAGAGATCTTTAACCAAACTGTTACTCAAATTTTTAGAAGGTCATAGAAATTTTTTAAAATTTACTTCATCATAATATACATTCATTCTGACCAACCAGTTTAATGATCTGTATTCATTGCCAGACTATCTGAAGGACATTACCAATGAAAATCAGTTTAAGGCCAAACTTAAAACATACTTGGACTGTTTTTCAACTAGAGTTGTAGATTGGCTGTGCCATCGAGACTGGGTTTGGGAGTGTCTTGATCAAGCATATGTGTATATAGTCTTAATAATGTACAGCGCAATCGAATATTTAATACATTTTTGCGCTATATAAATGTCTTGTATTTGTATCTGTACAGTCAAGCAATGCCATTTCAATATACCTTTTATGACTTTAATCTGCAGCCCATAGGTGTTAAGTTTCTTCTCTCAGAGGACACTTTCTCATGGAATCTTTGTTTGAATTTCACACAAATTATAACACATTTTTTGTCATATCTTGGTAGTCAGTCCAAAAAACCAGCTTTCCTGGATAACTAACAGCCAATAACTGATTTCTATGCAAGTAATCGTACATGTTTTTTTTTTTGAATCAGCGATGACAGACAAAGTTAATGACTATTTTACTTAATGTCCATTACCAATTGCCACTGAGAAATTTCATATTACTCAAGAATCGCACCAACAAACTCTGGATAACAGTTCCTATGCTACCCTATCCTTTCCTATCCATATTGAGGTAAGAGACTCACAGACTTTGCAGAAATTTCAAGCATGCTGTATTACTTTCACTTACCAGGATTGTGCAGCATTCTTCAATTTCCTGATTTCTTTTGTCGCCCATGTGGATAATGTTTTACATTTAGTGGCTTTTGATCTTCTACCTTTTGTAAGAAGGCCTGTGATTGGTTCTTTATCAACCAATGGTAAAATGCTGGCACCAAAGGTTGTACAAAGATCTCTGTAACATAAATGAATATGATGGTTTTTATTTCAGCATTTGAAATTAAGTCCTAATTCTTAAAGCAAAGAGCATTTAAATTTGTGCTAAAATTCTACGAAAATGAAAAGATAATTTTAATTAAAACACATTTAGTCAACAGTTAAAATAAAGTGACTTTGGATTTCTTGAAGCTCTGGCCATCCACAAAAATTATATACACGTCATAATAAGCAGAATAACTGCTTACACCTTTACTTTAACAGAGTAAAAATGTAGTATAATCTTTCATATGATGCACCTGTATAGGTGGTTAAGTTAGCAACACGGAAATATGGGCCAATTTTGGGAATTGACGAAAACCGTTTTAATTTAGCCTAAATATCAATCAACTTGTCACTAAATTCTACCTTTGCACTATCCACTAATATTTCCTCACGCGAAATGTCTGAAATTTTTAAATTCCCTAATTTTTCAACACACGGAAATATTCACTTATACAGTAGCTGCTAGTACACCCTTACCCTATCAATCCACAGCACGCTGATATATTACTATCACTATGATCCTCGTCTAGGGCTATGTGTTCTATAAATGATATCATGTGACCAACATGTGGTTGAAGCAGGGTCACATCAGCTGAAATAGATATAATCAACATACACACACATCTGAAACATGTTTTTCAGGTAGAGTTTAAGTCTTTTTTCAGGTCGAGTCTTTCCAAAAGACATCGACTCAGTTTCAGTCAAATAACAGTTTTCCAGCTTTACAATCGCAGGAAGACTTTGGGTGCCCCTTCATGCATTCATTCATTGTTTCAGGCACAAGTGGGCTCCTCTATTACAAGTAACCAATATGTCAACATGTATGGTAAAAGTCTGTCTAGTTATTATCTAATAGTTCTTACAATATTGTACTGTAAACAAGAGCACTGCATGCGTTCATAATGCCTGTCTGTTCAAAATTCCTTAAAAGTTAAATAGTTAAAAAAAGGTTATAATATATAAAACTCCAAAAATATTGACGTTAAGAATGATCTCCCTTGACTTACAACTGCACCTTGTGGTAATAAGCTTCATGCCAATACGCTTTAAAATGTTTGAAAATTTGTTTACATGACATTTTTGGTACAAAATCAACAACACCCAAGCAATTATAATTATAAATAGCACAATATTTTTTTCTCCGGAACAGACAAGCTAAAAAACCAAGACCACTCACCATTAGGAGACTCACTGTCTCCTTTTAATCCCTGCACCATGCCAGTATATGCTTCTAGGCAACCTTCACGTAGTTCATTCAAATAATCTATCATATCATAATCCGTCTGAAATGACAAGAATACACCTTTGACAATGACTGTCCTACAACAATGTTGGCCGATTTTAAATCGGGGATATCATTAAAAATTTGGTCATAGGTATGAATCAAGTACAAGAATTATAAGAAAATTGTAAGAAACCAGTTACCTAAAATACATGTGCCTGGCTTTTTAAGTATAATGAAACCCTTTTTTCAACATGCAACAACTAATGAATAATCTAAATCACTTATTTCTAAACAGAGTTGGAGAACAAATGGCTTAGATACATGGCCTTAATCCAATTTACCAGGGGAAAATTGCCTAGCCAGGTGTTTGTCATTCAGAGCCAGGTTAGGTCCACAGATCTAGCATCTTCCCCATAAAGTTATTAAGTTGGCTGTAATTAAATTTGCTGTTGATTGGTTAGTTGGGTTGTTACACAAACATGGTAAATTGCAAATGGTTCAAAGCTAGCCGTGTAAACTATTTGTCCATAGAAGCAACAATGATGTTTTTTGTAACACAGGCACTGGATAAAGTCCAACTTATGCATGCAATATGTAGGTGGAAAGACATGTTAAAACCATTACGAAGAAGTGCAAAATATAATTATATAGAAAAATACGTTACCTTATCAACTTGAGCTTGTGTGGCTTGCTGTAAGGTAGTTAAAACAACCTCTAAATAATTCTTAAAGTAAGGTCCTACAGCTAGAGCAATATCACCAAATATTGAGAGAATCTGAGGCTTCACAGATCTGTGCACACCAACATTCTGAAAGAAAAAAAAAAACATATCAAAATATTAAGATTTCTTCCACTCCTATTTTAGTCACACGTTTTTGGTTGGGTTTTAAAACACCAAATGGAATCTTTCTAGCTTTACTGGTGGAGAGAGACCTCAAGTGCCTCTCCATTAAACATTTTTAGCCTTTTGCAGGAGCCTCGAAAGAACCACCAACAGTCTGTAGACTAGCTGGACAGCTTTCTCACACAAATAAATTGTCCCTGGCAGTGTTTAAGCACACAGTGATGTGGAAGTAGTTATGTCAACAACCTCGATACATCTGTAAAATGTGGTAAAATATCTCAGTGAAAACAAAAATTCTAATCTAACTGCTTCAGTCAAATTAAAGTTACAGTGCAAATAATAAGTTATACAAGGCTCAATATTCCTTTAATTGCTGCATGTGCATAGCTTTATGCCTGTAGGGCACATCATGTGTAACTGTTAGATTGGGTTTAACATCACACCAACACAGTATATGTCACATGGCAACATTCCAGCTTTACTAGTGGAGGAAAGACCTCAGGTGCCATTCCGTGCATTATTTCAGGAACAAAGGGCACCTTAGTAGCGCAATGACATTTCGTAAGCTAGCTGGATAGCTTCTGCACATGAAAGAATCTAGTCTGTCGGGATTCAAACCCACAGCAGTGAGGGGCAATTAGATGTGTAACTATATTTGCAATTTAAGATCGTGTTAATATGCTGGTACAATTGATAACAATCTACAAAGAAATGAGAGCCTACCCCAAGGTTTTCTAGAAGTAACATCATAATCTCATCACAGTATGGCAGGATTTTCTGACCGAGCGCCCGACTGAGGTCACCAACTAAACCTACAGCCGCAATACACACCTGAAAAATAATCATATTTTTCTTAATTAATGAAAGCATGGGATTTTTTAATTATAGCATTGGATCATTATAGTCTAACTGGAACATACCCTAAAAGATCTTTAACTGACACAGATATTGTTCAGTATCTTTTTTATCATATGTAGAACCAAATGTTTGAACTGTCTTCTTTGCAAACAAAAAGGCAATATATAGTATTCATAAAGATGAAGCAATCCGAAAGCTCAATAGGTACACTGTCAACTTGCCAACCCTGGCTCGGTTTCCGGATGGCTTACGACACTTTCGTTGTGACTCATTAAATCCTTTCTATGGTCATTCGCGCTTTACCTCTGCTCTGGCATATACAAAACTTATTAGTTCCTTGTAAAAATGAAGGCAACCAGTACTTAATAGCATGTCAAGGAACGATGCAGGGGCTGAAATGTGCTCTGGTAAATTCAATGTGGCTAAATGCTGTGATCCGGAACACCACCACCATACATTAAAGATTGTAACAACATCATCTTTACATTCACCTTTTATATTTTACAATGCACTTGCTTATTTACAAATTCATTAACTTGTATCTGAGAAAAAAAATTTGTTGTAAAATGTTGGTGCAATGATATGACTACAGTATATCTAGATTACCTGGTACTCGGCATGATTTTTGAGGGCTAGGAACAGGAATGGTTTGAAGGCATCCATGTACTTCAAGAAGTTCTCTCCTAATACTGAAAACAAAACATCATATAACCTGATTATCAAATATCTAATTACCTCAATATCAAAGTACTGCAAGCATGGGATAGGTAAACAATAAAAAGAATTGCTATCAGAAAGTTGGCTTAATTATTGTAAATATTTGAAAAAATGTAACAAGAGACTGGTTATTTCAAGTATGTTCTAAATTTATAAATGGCAGATAACTCAGTCATAAGTTATGCTTAAGACTGTGTAAGACAGTAAACCTTTATCAGAATTTTGAAAGTTAAATAAAATTCAAAGCTGTAAGTGACCCACAATTATGTGTTTCAAACAATGAAAGAGAAGTTTCAAATGAATTCCTTAGAAGGTTATGAAAATAAAACTTGCAAACAAAGCTTCAACTTGTAATTTCCCATGTTTCCATAGATACAATTCAGCTAAAATCAATGCAATAGTTACAAATTTAGACGGTGACCCAATATTATGATTCCAAACATATATTTTAAAACAATTGACTAAAATGCTGAGTTTTTCTACATAGAATCTACACCAGAGAAAAAGAAATCCTTAAAGCATGTCCAGAATGTTTAAAGTTTAAAATATTGCAGGCTTGGTTTCATCGAGTACTGGAAAGTGTAAGCTGTCATCTAAGCCCCCGGCTCAAGAAGAATTCAACATTTAACATGTAATGGTACAATCTATATTACTATTATTCAAACAAGAGCTTGTTTGAAGGAAACAATATTGGTAAAATATTTTTTGCCTTGAAATAAGGAACATGGCCATTCAGAAACTGACATGGTATTCAGGAATTCAATATTTTCACAGGATTGTCGGACTGTTTCGAATATAAGGAGGTCATTTTTGCTTTTATCATTGTGTGCTGTCCAAGTTTTGAGACAAACAAGAATGTATTTGAGACAGTTTTTTATGGCCTCCAGCTGCATCTTAATAAAAACCCTGTTTATATTATTTGCAAAATGTTCTATGTTATAAACAAAGTAATCTACCATACCTTCAGTAAGTGTGGATACAGCTAAGAGGGCATCCTCTTGCACACCTCCAGATTTTCCGGTCGAAGACTGGAACATGCGCAACAATGTGCTCATTATCTGGTCCGAGATCTGTGGCGCATCATCCGACGTTACTTTTCTTAAAACACTCTGAAAAGATACAAAAGACAGTTACAGCACAAGTTACAATTATTTACTATAGAAACAGGCCAGCAAAAAGATCCGAGCACCAAACTCTAAACTATCGCGTTGGTAGCTCAATTTTTGTATCCCTGGACTGTTCCAAATTTAAAGATGGACAAATCCGTGCAGGTTAAAAGGTAAATCAGAGCCAATGATATTTTTAAAATTAACAAGCAATTATCATAGTATTGCAAGCAATCCATAAGTCCCCTACCGGTAAGAGCCCAAGCAACATTCTGAAGGGCCATTGGCCATTCACTTATGTTCCTATTTTAAGTAAATTTGTTGAAAAAGTTCTTTAAAAGTGATCACAGGAAACAGTTTTTATGTACAGACAGACAAACTGAAGGACACTCTAAAGTTATTTTTTAAACATCCCTGTTATCAAAATATAACATTTTTAAAATCCTATCATGATTGAAGAAGTTGGAGTAAAAATTACCAATTTCTCAAAAAAAAAATCTAAGTTCAAAAGGGGCATAATTCTGGAAATAGTCTTGCTAGAGTATTGAACACTCACAAATGTTGAGTGATAATAAGAAACATTTATATGAAGTTTGAAGTAGATACATTCAGAAAAAGAAGTTATTAAGAAAAAAAACAATGTTTTTTCATGAAAATTTTAAGTTCAAGGGAGGTAATTCTGATAAATTTTGAGCTAGAGTTGTAAACCTTGTCACATATGATGTGGTTGATTACAAGCAACTTATATTTAAAGTTTGAAGAAAATACCTTAAATAAAGAACTTATAGTGAAAAAACTTAAAAACTAGAATCAGAAATCTTGAAATTCAGTCTATTTGTTGCCATAGCAACCATAATTTTCAACATAGGAAGATAAGAAAAGGATGTGCATAATTTCCATACTGACATATCAGGGGTTTTTTTTGCTATATAATTGTAGCCGTTTAACGGCTACTTCCCCAGCTGGAAAAAAATTCCCCTTGAGCTAAAAAATTCCCCTTGGTCTGAATAAAATCAACTATTATGGCTTGCTTGTTTAAAAAATCACATTTTTGTTTAAATAGTTCATATTTTTATAGGCCTACAGTGTTTAATATTACCGATTGTCCTGCAAGTAAAAAGTCCAATGCCGACGATGGGCAATCCTCTCCATTACGCTGATCATATCTCTAAACATTCTGTCTTTATGAAAATTCTCCTCAAAATGTGCAGACATTTGTAAAAATATGTTATATTATTTATTCTTATAGATTTCAATCATAGTCTGGAGGAACATGGAGTTATATTAATACCAAAAATCGGCAAAATATTCTATAATCACATATTTTCGCGACATACTTCCTGTTTGATTTTCAGCTTGAATTTGGAGAGGAATGTGTTAGTTTAAGTAAATAACTTACAAAACATAAAACAGTCAATTGATTTTTGTGCATTAAGTGTCAAAATGTCCTTTGCTAATCATCATCTAATTAATTTAGCACTTAATGCAATTTTTACATAGAAAAATCAAAGCAACCATTCTGAAATAAATAGGGGAGGTGTGTGAGGAGGTTACAACACTGTTGAAGCTTGGCAACATCACAAATGATATTGACTCAAGTGATTCCAACTAAAAAAAAAGTGGTCTTGTATGTTTAAGTAATTCAAGGCCAAAGATCTGAACTGTTTTCATTGTTTATGACTCACTTGACTTTTAGGACATGTGTTTATTGTTAATTTTAAAGTTATTAACTCCTTTTTTAAAGTAATAGATTTTCCCCAAAATGTCATTTTATCGCGCATTTTTTCCCCAACTGAAAGGCCAGGCCGTTTCCCCAAAATTGAAAAAAAAGGCCTGCATATACCCATATGTCAAGTTTCATAAACATATTTTCAGTACTTTTTGTGTTATCACTGGATCCAGGTTATGTGTAAAACTTGCCATATTTTCAGTCTATTTGTTGCCATAGCAACCAGAATTTTCAACATAGGAAGAAAAGAAAAAGACGTGCATAATCTCCATACTTCCATCTATCCATATATCAAGTTTCATAAAAATATTTTCAGTACTTTTTGCGTTATTGCGGGATCCAGGTTATGTGTAAAATTTGCCATATTTTCAGTCTATTTGTTGCCATAGCAACCAGAATTTTCAACATAGGAAGAAAAGAAAAAGACGTGCATAATCTCCATACTGCCATCTATTCATATATCAAGTTTCATTAAAATATTTTCAGTACTTTTTGTGTTATCGCGGGATCCAGTTTTGTGGACGGACGGACTGACGGACGGACAGACTGACGGCCGGACAGACAGACAGACGGACGGAGGGTAAACCTAAAGTCCCCTCCAGTAAACCGGTAGGGGACTAATAAAATATTCTTAGTAAAACTGTATCAAAATATATGGCATCATCAGATTCTGAAAAATAAACTTTTTTCCTTCCAACACTAAATTTTGTATAATTGGACTTATAACCATGCAACTGCCTGCAGTCAAATTTTCATTTCAAAATGTTTCATTCTTGCAGACAAGAGTATGAAGTTGCATTAAAAGTTTATACTGGTGGAACAATAGGAAAGTCATGCCCGGTGGTGCTAGCATTTGAAGAGTTATAGACTGAATGTTAAGAAATGGCTCACCTGTAATGTAGCACATAAAAGGGACGTCAAATCGTTGTATTGTGATCTATCTGATGACATATGTATATCATTCTGAAATGGTAACAAAAATGTTAATTCAAAACACATCCTTCATCCTAAATTAAAGTGAAATTATGCCTATCCAAGTGTAAATGGCAAGTGCACTTGTAAAAGTCAAATTAACTTTACATTTTGCCATATTTATATTCTATTTGATATTTTACTATAAAAATATAATCTGTAAGTTATGTGACACATAGAAATTTCTATCAATATCATTCAGGGGGTATCAGTAAAGTTCAATTCTTAAAGAGTGGGGCAGTGTTTTTATAATTTCATGTACTTTTTTCATTTATTCTAAGCATTTTTATTATCAATTATTGATCAATCCCTATTATAATAGTAAAATCTTTTGACATAAAATATCAATTCAACTCAGCCTGACAGCAAAAAAATAAGAATAATGTCACTAAGTTTATAGCATGTTATATTAATTCTTTCCATAGTCAAGTTAAAATTAAGATATTGAATGACGCCTTCAAAATCAGTGTTCCCACTTCTATTTTTCATTGGGGGTATTTTTACCCCTTACCTTTGAAAACTGGGGGTAAAACAAAAATTCAGGGATGTACATAAATTTGTACAATAATTATATGAAATTTAAGGATAATTCCAAAACCATACATCAGACAATTATACTGTTTTCTTCAAGATTTACTCCACCCCCACCCCCTTAGGTAAAATTCATTGTGACCAACATTTTCATCACAGTACATAAAACTTAGGTGTACTATATATTATATTTCATTTTTATTTAAACAATAAACCTACCTCCATTTGAAGAACTCTTTCTAATTTTTCTAGGACTAATACAAGTGTACGTAAAACTATCTGGTAACAATCCTGAAACACAAATATGCAAGACATTCATTTACATTTCTGTACATTTTCATATGAAAAGGTTAGCATGAAACCTATTCTGCCTAGTTAATAGTAGTTATATAACTGCCATTTTAAACTTTTTTTATAAGGATCAAGTCAGCCCCAGTATGCATTATCTCAAGCATGTATGCTTCTCTGAGTAGAACCACCCACCCTCATACAATAGTTATAATGATAATTCCTCAAATTAATTTGTTAATCTTCATAAGGTTTCATAAATGAAAATACTATGATTACATGGCCATTAAAGGCCAATCTTTCATGAAAACATTTTGATTCAGAAAATTGGTTTCACTCCAATTTTTATAAATATTCATAATTTTAATACTTACAAATTCAAAATTTTGAAAATCAAGATATTTTTTAAAATTTCGAAAATCAAGATATAAAGGATATTATTTGCATGTAAACATATTATGATAATAAGTGACTTTAAAAGCCTAAATGATAGATAAATATGACCTTGCAAGCCTCATGCCTGTAATTACAAAGTTCAAGGATGCAAGATAATAATAATTTTTTTTTAGATTTTATGAGACAACATGTGTACGAGGTAAAAAAAATTTTGAAAAGCTTTTGAAAGTGTCCACAATTCTGGAATAATTTGAAAATTTTCAACCATGCTGCTGAAATGTAAAACTTGTAGTTATTACATAAAATAATAGAAACAAAACAAATACATATATATGTTAAAAGACCATGTACAAGAAGAAATACCTTTGTACTATTTTTCATCATCTCCATAATAGCCTCGTAAGCTGCATTTCTTAAATTATTCTGGTTACCATCCGGTCTGCAACATAAAAGAACTTCAATATGAGCCGCGTCACGACAAAACCAACATAATGGGTTTGCGACCAGCATGGATCCAGACCAGCCTGCGCATTTGCGCAGTCTGATCAGGATCCATGCTGTTCGCTTATCAACTCTATTACAAGTGGAGAAACTGACAACGAACAGCATGGATCCTGATAAGACTGCGCAGATGCGCATGCTGGTTTGGATCCATGCTGGTCGCAAACCCATTATGTTGGTTTTGTCCTGATGCGGCTCATATGTCTAAACAACTCAAGATTAGTAAACAAATTCTCAAAATTTCAGGAAAAGAAGCCAATATCAAACACTATCAAAATATTTCATTTGTTAAATTGAAGTTCTCATTTCTGAATCAACGAGTTTAAACTTCATTGGACCCAGCATTTTTCACAATGGGCCATAATTCTGTCAAAATATAGGCCTGGAGTAAAGGGCCTTAGACAGTGATCTAAACATGAGTGACGCTATGAGCAAATATTTTTAACAGTAATGAGAAGGTTTACATATGTTGCACATCAATCTAAAACCAACATGTTACCCAGACACCTAGGTGAGTAGAACAGGCCCATTTTTTTTTTCAGAAAGACAAGCTAATAAAACTATGTTAAAATCCATTTTCTATTAAATTCACTTAGCCACGCTAAATTCACGACATCTCACTAAGTTAAATTGAATACATGCAGAATGTGTACTCACCTGTCGGCAGTTTGCATAAGCTTATGTACAATTTGTTGAAAGTAATTTGACAAACAGCAGGTGGCAGGGTCGGACCCATCGTCTGGTTGTTCTGCATTCTCAAAGGCTGCCTCTGCTAAACTCGAAAATGCCTGAAAAAATGAAAATCGTCAAACTTTAATATTGTTCACCATTCATTTTGGCAATTCCCCTCCCACTCTTTTTGCATCTGGTATTTGACTTAATAAATGTACTGAAAACTGTCTCATATGAAAACACAAGATGGCAGTTCTACGTCTTGACTCTAGATACTTACCCAGCAGACATTGCTTGCGACCCTTGGTTCAGTCTCTAATCCAGCCACGAGGGCGTGTAAAAGTGGATTTAAATACTGTTCATTTATTACTGCTTCCGGCAAGATTTCACACACGCGACCAATAGTCCATGCACCAGTATCGCGAACAATAACACAAGGGTCTTTAAAACTTTCTATCAACATTGGTAAAGCTTGATCAACTAGTTGTTTCAAAGTCGCTGGATCTGGTCCCTCTAATATAGAACCTACAACAAGAAGTCATCACGTAAGTATACAAATATAATACAAGATATGATTATAAAGTATAGAGAAAGGACATACCAAGCTGTAAAAGACTCATTACCCAAGATTTTAACATAAAAGATAGTAGTCATTTCAAATATTTCTTTATCAATATTTATAGTGACTTTAAGGCCATTCTTAAGCTTCCAGTATAAAATCAGGCCAGCTAAACCATCGTGTAGTCTGATTAAGTTTGTTTGTTTGTTTTGGGTTTTACATCACATTGATACAGTATAGGTCATATCGCGACGTTCCAGCTTTACTGGTGGAGGAAGACCTCAGGTGCCCTTCCGTGCATTATTTCAGGCACGAACGGGCACATGAGTAGAACCACCGACGTTCCGTTAGCTAGCTGGATAGCTTCCTCACATGAAAGAATCCAAAGTCCCTGTCGGGATTCGAACCCACAGCGGTGAGGGGCAAGTGGTTTGAAGTCCACGACCTTAACCACTCGGCCACGGACGCCCCGTCTGATTAAGACCCTTTAACATCGCTTTTCATTGGACAACTATGTTTGCATAGCTTTATATATGTGGCTCTGTCTATTTACGAAAAAATCTCACTTTTTCCTCAAAAAAGGAAGTTTGGTGTGTAATAAATTTGTTATAAAGATTCCTGAAGAACTAGCGGCTCGGGGTTATGCAAACAACTGTTTATATAGGGCCATATAACCTGTCAACAAATCTTGATAATAATATACTGTTAACCACTTAAGAACTTGTGACATCAAAATCCATCAAATTAACCCTTACTGCACATAATATCTTGAAAGTACTTGTCCATCTTTCAACATTCAGCTTCAATTATTCAATGTTGTTTTATATAATTCTGATATTTCTTACCGAAAGCCATCACAGAAGCATCCCTGTATCTCCAGTCTTCGTGGTGTATATTGTCTTTAACAAACGGTAGTACGTGCTGTATGATGTCATCCTCACAACATGTGGCCATCAACATCAAACAAACACCGGCTGCCTTACACGGGTTCCATTCATCGTCGTCATCAAATTCTTCCTGCAACAACATTAAAATTTGTCTCAAGACTACAAACACATCTCAAATTAACCGTCGACCTACAGAATTTCTTAAATGTACTTAATCTGCTTCTGTATATTTTGAAACTATTAATTACAAATAATTTTTTTTTTTATATGGCAAAGTCTCTTACATAAATATGTACATTTTACAATATAATTTTAAATAATGCTTACCTGTTTTGTAAGTGTTGCAAGTAAAATTGGAACAAGGTATTGTAGTGCCCCTTTAGCATAAAATCTACTGGTACGTTCTGGTGGTTTACCGGCTTCTGCAGCCTAAAAACACAATGTTTACAAATGAGCCGCGTCATGACAAAACCAACAAAATGGGTTTGCAACCAGCATGGATCCAGACCAGCCTGCGCATCCGTGCAGTCTGATCAGGATCCATGCTGTTCGCTATTAGTTTCTCTACTTGTTATAGAGTTTGTAAGCGAACAGCATGGATCCTGATCAGACTGCGCGGATGCGCAGGCTGGTCTGGATCCATGCTGGTCGCAAACCCATTATGTTGTTTTGTCTTGACCCGGCTCAAATAACTTTAATCATCAAATTGGTTTTATAATCAGTGGTTTTTCTCAATTGGGAAGAGGCCTAAGCCTCTTGATTTTTGGGAAAAAATATCGCAAAAATTAAATTTGGGAAGTAAAAAAGCAGGTTTAAGTTCACATTTTTGGGAAAACTGCATGATTTTAAAGAAAATTTCAATTGGGAAGAGGCCTTTTATCAGAGTCTGTTAAATAAGCAGGAAAATCACTGATAACAGAGTAAGTTGTAACAATTAATGAATTGAATTGTATGGGAAACGGACAATATGCAGGTCATATGGCTTTTCAGTACTAATGGCAGAGGAAGATTATAGGCTCATCTCACAGCAGTGTACCTCAGTACATTATTTCAGGAACAACCATGTTACTAACCTTTCTCGATAGAAAAAAATTTGTCTCTGTGAAAAAATAATCAAGCATTAAATTTCAACTAATTCATTTACAAAATGATTTTCTAACTTTTTTTTCACATATTTCACAGGGACTGATCTTAAGCCCCTTAACAATTCTGAAGTCTTAGTTTTTTCCCACAAAGGTCGGGGAAAAAATATCACAATTATTTTTATATGTTTTGTCACAAATAAACAAAGTTTAAACTTCGTTGTTAATGTTCAGTGTTTCTAAAAAACTTGATAATTAAATCGAAAAATATTTTGTTTATCAAGCTGATGCATAACTTTATGGTAATTACCGTTGTGAAGCGGATTTTACAAGTAAATGTCGTAATATGAGCAGTTTAGGCTAAAACTACCAACCAAAAAAAGTCTTATTTCACAATTTTCTGAAATTCTTCAAAATTTCGTCGAGCTAAAAATACCCGGACTGTATCAACAACATGTCGATTGTTAACACACAAAACTACCAAAACAGGAAATTAACCAAAGAAAGCACAGACCAGACACAGAAAATACAGTACAGGCAGTGATTTTTCTCACTTAATTGGGAGGAGGCCCTAGCCACTTGTTTTGGGGAAAAATTATTGCTAAAATTGCTAATTTGGGAATTAAAAAAGCAGGGTTAAGTTAAGATTATTGGGAAAACTGCATGATTTTAAAGAAAATTCCAATTGGGAAGAGGCCTTTAATCGGAGTCTGTTATATAAGCAGGAAAATCATTGACAGGTAACAGATTACGTTTGTGCATATCTACCTCGGACAATTCTATTGCTAAGTCGACCTCTTCATCACAAACGGTAGACCAGAATTCAATTCCTTGTAAAGCGATCTCGTCAACTTCCGACTTCATAGCTTCCATGGTTATCTGCGAAAATAAAATTCATGAAAAAGATCATTTTTCTTAATTTATATGCACATAATATTTTTATTGTCTTATATTTTCTCAAGATCACAGTCAGTTTTTTTTTATTTTAATTTTTTTTGTTGGGTTTTACGTCACATCAACACAGTATAGGTCATATTGCGACGTTCCAGCTTTACTGGCGGATGAAGACCTCAGGTGCCCTTCCGTGCATTATTTCAGGCACGAACGGGCACCTGAGTAGAACCACCAACATTCCGTAAGCTTGCTGGATAGCTTCCTCACATGAAAGAATCCAAAGTCCCTGTCGGGATTCGAACCCACAGCGGTGAGGGGCAAGTGGTTTGAAGTCAACGACCTTAATCACAGTCTTTTAAAATACAATTTATGGAATACAGTATGTACAACACTAACACTGTGCAACTTTTTTGGAAATGATGGACTTGAGCTTACTCGGACAAGTTCAAAGTAACAAAGACTGGTTAAAAACTACAAAGGTTATTAAGAATTTTTCTCAGCTCAAACTCTATCCTAAAGAATTTGATAAGTCAGAATTTTCACTGAACAATGAAAAACCTCAAATTTGAGGAAAAATTATCATAACATTCAGTCCAGTTTAAATGGTTTAAAGTTACAAAGACTGGTTCAAAATTACACACACCAGTTTTCAGTAGTAGATAAGTTCTATGTTACAGACTGGCAAGTAATTGAATATTAGTTTTGTTTGCTTTTTGGGCTTTTTTTAAAGACATAGACATGTCATTCACAATACCAATCTTATATACTTACAGCAAATAAAGCTGGCCCCATGTAATGTTCCATGTAAACATAGTATAAAGACATGATTTTTACAAGACATTGTAGGGCGGCTACTCGAACCCGGGTATCTTCTGACTGAGTGGCCTCACACACAACTTGCATAATAAAATGTCTCTCAGACTGTAAACAAACGAAGTAATTAAATATATAATACAGTATTGTAAGATTTGTTTATAACTCTATTTCAACCTTTTATTTTGGTCATATCTAGCAGTCTGAAAACAGCTTTCCTGGATTACTAACCAGTAATTATCATTTCCTCCACAAGTGACCGACTACTTATCCCACATGATTTCTGAGTAAGCAGTGAGATATGCATGATCATTAGATTGAATATATAAGATCAATTCAGTATAATCCTGAAGTTAATATTCAATCACCAATATTCAATCACCAGAGGACTGAAAAAGGACCCCTGAATTTATATTGAGGAAGTTATTCCACACTATATCTGACAATTATCTATCTTCCACTAATGTCAAAACCCTCGCAGGACGTAGACATGCCTGCGCGTCAGCAATTAATCATTTGAATAACATGGACTGTGTAAAGTCCTTAAAAAATTGACAGTCTTCCCTGTTGCACCAAAACAAAACCGGGCTTTATGGATAAAACTCCCTTGCAAAATATGTTGGGCCATTCAAATATTTTGTGCCATTGTAAATTCCTTAAAAGAACTTTCCTGGTATTTTCTTATATACCACATACTCGAAGCAGTGACCAAACCCTTTTTCAAGCAAAATAAACCCACAGCCAGACCATGGGACATTCTTTCATTGCAAATTTCATCCAATACATCTACTATGACCATAATATTGCTATAATTTTTTCGATACCATGATGGCGTCATGGTGTCCCTTTTCAACATATAAGAGTATCCCTTAATTTTACCAGATAATTTTAGTTTTACACCATCACTCAGTATAAATGCTAGCACGATTTTAAAACATGATTCATTGAAAGAAAAACATCAAACGTATTTAATAAAATTTTGCCTTTCAGAAATTTATATTATATTTTCAGCACTCACCTCTATGTCAAAATTAGCCTTTGTAAACTCTAGGGAGTTGAGTAGAGCATTTGTAGCAGCATTTCTTACGTTATTACTGAAACAAAGACACACTTCATAGATTAAAATAATAATTTCTTCATATCACCAGGTAAAAAGGATAATGAATTCATGTTATTTTAGGGGCGGATATATAAAGAACTTACGGACAAGTTACATACTTCTGATAAAAACGGACAATTAAGTCAAAATCACAGTTTCAAAAAAAAGCAAAGCTGTTTAAACTTTTGTGAATTATCAAGCTATTTCTACTTGCTTCTTATAAAAGAATTCATAGGTTATACGATCATGCACACGTAAAAGGGGAGTTTTTCAACTTTTTAAAAAAAAATTAAAATTTCTCAAAATTTCTCAAAATGCCTCAATTTATGCCAGGTGTAAAAAAGCTGAGAAAGGCCTTTGACCTCACCAACCTGGTTTCTTCTTTTTTCATTCCATGAACTATAGCTGTTAATATTTCATTTGACTGAGTCTGCAGTATTTCTGGATCCTGCAAAATAAACATTTTATAAATTCCATAACTCGATAAATATCATATTAACTCTTTGTAAATTTCTAAGTATATTATCTCCACTAAAGGCTTAAGGTTCTATCTTTATGATAAAATTTTAGTTTTGAAATTTCCATAATATCTAAAACAGGGTTGACCTCATATTTCATATACATTCTTAGAAATCAAATAAGCTTTTGTAAAGGGTATATCAAAACTTTTGCGAAAATTTTAAAACAGTAAAATTGCATTGTTTTCATAACCTTAAGGTAATTTCTTGATACAGTTGTCTCTGTTACTTAACACCAAAATCAAAATAAAAACATTCTGGAACAAAATATTCCCCTTTCTAATACTTTTTTGGGGAATGTTCCCTTCATTCTTCAATGAAACATACAGTCAAATTTATTCCATTTATTCTACAGTTATTTCAATTTTGATATAAACTATTTTTTTGCAATCCACAGACATCAAATATGTCGCATACACACTTCAAACTCATTATCTATTCATGCTTGATTGTTAAGTAAAAAGTTCTTTCTTTATCCTAGACTTAAAAGTTACCACCAGAAGTGACTCTCTAGAAGTTCATATAAAACGTCAATAGGCAAGAGACTAAGAAACTTACTATATCCTGACATATATATCCAATAGCTTCTAGACACGACTCCTTCATCATCTCCGTACTGCCTGGATTCGTCACATTGTTACACAGGGTGTTGATCAACTCTGGCCACAGACCTTGTGGAAGCTCTGTACAGGCTATATTGGCCACACATTGGGCTGCTGAACTCGGTCTTACAGTCTCTGTACCTAAACTGGACAAGACCTATAAAGCAAGAACAAATTATCCAATTTAATATAGCTCCTTTCAGAGATTTTCACAGTATTTTATACTCTCGGACCATTACTACTATGAATCAAACAAGATTTGTCTCAAAACAGAAAACTTCTTTCTACCGAATATTAAAAAATTATCGGTTTTGATAGCTTACAATGCATCTACATTATAGCAAAACATAACAACATATTTCAGAATATCTTAAAACCATTATCTGGGTTATTTTTCTTGATTACCATGTATCTAAGGCACAACTTACATTTAACTTGACCAGATTTCTGACATCCTCAGCAAACTGAAGCCATCTTTGCTGGTACTCGACTTTCAACGCAGCATCTTTAGAATACAGAGCATTTTTCAACTGGAGACCAGCCTGCATTCGTGCAACAGGGCTATTTGTACCATTTTTCAAGATTTCTGACAAAGATTTCAACAGGTCTGGCTGAAATAATAAACATTATATTCAAAGTTACTAATTGATTTAAATAATTCCTGATTGAATAGCATACAGACCATGATCAGACGCCACTCTGAACTGCTCATGTCATACTTTTTTTCCCCCTTTGTAATTGCTTTTTATTTTTTTAATTTCAGTATTATTAGGGAAACTTTTAATTCTTGAAATGTATATACTTTATGGAAAAGGAAAGGCGAATTTCAGCCCAAAATTGGCAGAAGAAAAAAAGCAAAATAAAAACAGTGAATACACATTCTAGTACACTATAAATCAGACACATCAACGGATTTGCCTAGTTATTGCTTAATAAAAAAGATACTGATGTCACAAAATTTTAACTTAGGGTTAATATTTTAAGTCACATAGTCATAGTGCTCTTTCGGTCATAAAAGTTTTCTGTTGTACAAGTTTTTGAATAAATTGTTAATCATGCTGACTTGGGCATTTTGATTTATATGATAATGTGTATTTGCTATTAAATTTCAAAATTAATAAAACTGAAAACACATAAGGGAATGTTACTCTTGTCTCAAAGGAAGTAATTCTTAATTTTAGCTTTTACTTCAGTCAATGAATTTAAGATTTTGAATTTATTAGCCCAAATTCCAGTTCTAAATTTATTCTACTATATATTATTTAACTAAATTTTCTTAAAATTTTCACTTGCCCAAACTATTTTTCACTGGCCATGGGCCACCGGGCCAGTGCTAAATTAAATGACTGTTACTTTCAGAAACATAGTAGTCCAAGTACTCTTGTCTAATGGGTTTTCACTAGCCATTAAATCCTGAGGGTCATTTTGACCAACTAAAATGCCAAATCCCCATGATTTTAACAAAATTTGACCCTCCATCCCGAGTGTCAAATCAGGTCTTTCGGAAATTTGAAGTGTCAAAGACTCATTTCAAGAGTCAAACTGACACCCTGCAGTGAGTGAGTCTATTAAGTTTTAACTTCGAAAATGATTACCATCAAAGGGTAGTCTCACAAACTTAAAAATAATTTTGCCCTAGCCCGTGACTTTGTCACATCAGCGAATGGAGTGGACAAGTTGAATTTTTCTGGTGAAATGAATAAATATTGATAAATTATACTGTAAAATGGGTTAACTTAAAATATCATCAGTTGTATCTGGGACATTTTTGTGTCTTAAATCTATTATGCCTGCCTGCATATTAGAGGTGCGTGGTTTAAACCGGTAAACCACGGTCTGAGACATCTGCCGTATGTACCGCGGTAGACCTGGAAAACAAGTACTTTTAGCTCTAATTTAAAGCAATTACAGATCCATAAAATGAAATCATTTTCTGTTGTTCATGTCACTATTTCTTTGAATTAACCTTTTTGCAAACAACATTCGCCGACTTTTATCATTCCCCGATAGTTCTAAGCGAAAATTGAATGCTTTATCATTTACCGCATGTAAGCCTGAAATGTCGACTTGCAAGATCTCAGTAGAAGAAGCAAGAATTGTCGACTTTTCTTTTACTTGTTCAAATATCACTTATTTAATGATACGAAAACTACTGTAAAGTGTAATATCGTAAAGATTTATCATTCACTAGGGCATTCAGTGCATAAAATTATGGTGTTACTATTTCAAGTATTTACATAAATAGCGACAAACCAGGCTAGGGGTTTTCCTTATGTCACGACACACTTACTGCATGCGCATGGCAATCAACTAATTATAAAACGGCGTAGAAACAAACTGGATTAAAAATAATGTTTGTTTAACTAATGAATATTAATTAAGAAGTAACATGGTCAGTGGTTTTCCATGTGATAATTTTAATTTGCTTTTTCGGGTACATGTTTGTTTTTGTGTCCTTTTGGTGTCCGACGCGGATTATATACTTAGCCCCTGCAATAAAAAATTTCCAATAGCAGCTGGGACTGTTATGAAATAAAAAACAAGAACTGATCCCAGGGCTTTTTTTCACAGCTTGGGGAAGCAGCCCAGCCCTTAATTTTGGGGGAAAATTACACGGTATATTTGCAAAAGGGGAAGAAAAAACTTGATGTAAATTGAATTATTGGGGAAAACTGCATGATTTTAAAAAAATTTTCTTTGGGGAAGCAGCCCTATACCGGCCCTTGTTATAGAAGGTAAAAAGGCCCTGGATCCATTACCCAATTATTGTATGATTGTTAATATGCGCAGCATATTTGATGGTTTTGAATTTTGTCGAAAGTAGATCTACCTAATTGAAAAAAAAATAAAACGATGCTTTGATAAATCTGTATTTTATAGATCTGCTTAAATTTAATATTTGAAATTCTATTAACAGCCTACCATGATACTTATTTAAGAGATGAAAAATAAACCTATAGCGTACAATGAAAATTTGTGGTATACCGCGGCTTATACTGTGGTTTTTAGGAAAAACCATGGTATACCGTGGTATTTTCATTCTCTGGGTACCAAACTCTACTGCACATATTGACTGCTCCTATACCATATATGGCAAAATGTGTATTGGCCAAGGAGTGTTTATTTATAACACATAAAGTAAAGCCATATATTTATTGAAGTGTCTGGGGGGTGAAGTGTCTTGCTACCATTAAAACACTTCTTTTAAAGATATGTCATATGTTTAACGAATCCGGGTCAGCTCGGCCCTAAAACATACTCGGCCCCCGAGTCAGCTCGGCCCTATTCCAACTCGGCACGGGTCAACTCGGCCCACTTTTAAAAGTAGGTAAAGGACATCAAAGGACTCCTATTGTCAGGGGCTATTATTATCAATCAATGTGTATGTTAAATACATGGTTCCCACTATTATTTAGGAGTGAAATTCCAGGTTTTTTCCAGGTTTTTTCAAGGATTTTTTTTTAAATTCCAGGTTTTTCAATTTGAGAATTCCCGGTTTTTTCCAGACTTCCCAACCGTAAAGGGTGAAAACATAATATGCCCCGTTTTTCAAACGGGCATATAAAAATCAGGGCTCATCCGGAAGGGCGATTCAGGCGATAACTTCGCCGTGTATATTCCAATTTCGCTCTCCCAATTGATCAAAGAGAAGTCAACATCGCCGATAAAATCTTAATTCCCAAATAGTAATTACTTAGCGATGTAAAGAGCAGAGATTGTATCCGCCCATATGACGACCGCTAATTATCATTATCCAATCAGAGCGTCGCTTTATACTACCCTTCTACCTGTAAGCAAAGCGATAGACCGCCTACTCTAAATAGTAAATAATGAGAGCATCGGCCCGAAACGGTATAATTGTGTGATAGTTTTGCGAGTTTAATACGGGATTTGGCGATAATTATAGATTGTTTTTTCCCGATTATCTAAACACGTGCAATCTTCCCTAATTGATATACACGAAGCACTTCGATGGTGGGTTTTTAACCCGAGTAAAGGCGACGACCTAAAGGCGATGTGCAATGGATTTTTCACGGCTATCACAAAACTGTTAGTCAATTAGAAATAATCAATTTCATTAATGATCAGCGACAGGATTAAAAACTTAATCATAGTTTTGAATGATTTCAGGCTGTTAACATCAATTTTTACTGTAAAATTGTTATGTCGGTCACGTCATGGCTACAAGGCGAAATGCCGAAACCGAGCAACTTAAGAAAGTTACTGATTCTGATAGTTACACCTACGCGAAAATTTAAGAAAGCCAATTCGCAAAAATCTTGCGATTGGTATGTTGTAGATAGTGGGGTGTTTGGCATTGTTCTCTTTGTAGAAATGCCAAATTTGACACAGCTTACGCACGACATCCCGGCTAAACTACATATCGGTCGTATATCATGTAACGTATATATATATTGTCAGGAAAGAAGTGTTCTTTTTGTTTCAATATATATATTTGTTGTAATGTCGTAAATATGATGCTCAGATTAAGATTTATCAATATTGTAAATTTTAAAAAGCATTATTTATAAAGATATTACCGAATTTAACATTTCATGAAAATAAAGGGAGGTAATTAGAAATTAATTTTCTACAATTTCTCAGTCAAATTTTTCAATAAGAAATGAATATATGTAATTTTAGTGATCAAATATAATGTGCACAAATGTTTGCAGTACATATTTTACATACTAAATGATGTTTGAAAATTGTTTTATAAGCATAACTATATGCATATAAATGTGACATTACAACATTTAGGAATATGAAAGAAATTTCTGTCACCAGAACAGAATAGAACAGATATTATTAATCAATATCCAATGTGACCTCGTCTTCTATTAAAAGTGAGGAAAGTAAAAAATATAAAATTGATTTTATCATCATATCTTTTTCTTACACATTATTATCAACAAATCTACCATTGCCAGATCTACTATTAATTAATCTACTATTAATTAATACTACTATTAATTAATCTACTATTAATCAATAAACTGGAGAAATATTATATGTGATGTTAATTGTGTTTATATTATAATTAAAGGATGTATAGCCATGCATGTTAATGCATACACATTGGGTTGTTTCCATTCTCCCTAATTTTCGCGAGGAAGTCACTTCTCCCTAAAATTTCCCCCCAGGATGAGCCCTGAAAATATTGTTCATTTTACTTGCACAAATGAGACAAATCTTAATTGGCCTGTAAGAGTTTTGTCATTTTAATGAAAACAGTATATATTTACATTTACAATATTCAAATTGGCATAAAACTATTAAACATGGGTCAGTCATAACAAAACTTTAATTGTAAATGAGAAACGAGGCAATTATATTAAATTTTCAGCAAAGTAATTACATATGTTTTAGCTGCACCATAAGAAAACCAACAAAGTGCTTGTGTGACTAACATGGCTCCAGACAAGCTTGGCTTTCCATGCAGTCACATCAGTATCAATGAAGTTTGCTTTCAGATGTTAAAAATGTTACACAAGCTTTAGGCAGACAATATTGATCCTTATGAGACTGTGCAGATATGAAGGACTCATCTGGATCCATGCTTGTCACAAACACACTTTGCTGGTTTTAGTTGGACTAGGGGTCGCTCATATATATTATAAAAGATATAATTTTTTTGATACTAGTCAGATCAAAATGTATAAGGTGTAATTTGTTTTGTTGATTTTTTCCCCTATTCCTATTTCTCTGTCTCGCTGGCGCATTAGCGCAGACGACATATTTGCTGAATCAACTTGACGACTGTGCAGTAAATTCAAGTGCTCCAGAAACACGGACATGCTTATTATTTTTTCGTTCGTTTTCATTGTTAATTTCTAGCGAGGTTTCAAAGCCATTACGGCATTTGATGTATAAAAAGCTAAATTTGATTTGTAAAATATTCAAAATACCAAGATAGCTTTTTAAAACCATCCGCGGTGGAAGAAAACATCAATAATCCAAACCAGGAAATGGACATTGCTTTGGCGGCAGCCATATTGTTCAATATCGATTACTTCCCTTAGCGGTACGGACTAAATCCCGGACTATTCCCGGACTTTTACCGGACGGAGCAAATTCCCGGCGTTTTCACGACCGGGAGCCGCGATTTTGAAAATCACGGACTTTTCCCGTTTTCCCGGTAGCGTGGGAACCCTGTAAATATACCGATTAATTAGGTGATAATTATGATTGACTTATTCATTCAAATTTGATTAGGGACCACCTGCAATTAAGGGACCACCTGCTATTAAGTAAACACGTTTTTGTTTCATATTTTTTTGAAAATTACTTTACAAACAAAATGCATCTAAGGAAACACATTTTTATTACATCTATATTCACAGGCACAAGTATCGGACCTGGGAAGAAAAATATGAAGTTATTTTATCAATCTGTTCATATTTTTTCTTCCCAGGTTCGATAACCGTGCTTGTGTCTATATTAATTTTATCGAATCTGCAAGACAAACAAATAACTTTTTTTTTCTAAATATACTTTATTTCAGCAGAGGTACAATGTATAATTATATAATAATAATAAGATATTTCTTATTAACCATTTACCTTAACAACATACAAACTGGGACATAATCTTATGTCCCAGATGCAAAGCAAAGTAAATACGTTATAGGCCTATATATTTTTGTAAAGTGGGCCGAGTTGACCCGTGCCGAGTTGACCCGTGCCGAGTTGGTATAGGGCCGAGTTGACTCTTTTCCTGTTTAACTACAGATCTACTCAAATTATTAATGTCGAGGTGGAATATGATGTTGTTCTTTTTTTCTTATTTACTAATCAAGAGGTTTTCCATTATAAAATCTGTTTTAAAATATACCGGCACTGATGGCAATCTACTCGAGACTTTTGGCCCGAAACAATTTGTGTACGAAACGTCAAAATTGAGACATTCTATTCCGCCATCTTGAATTGTCAAAAATACCGGCAAAGTAAAATCTAGAGGATTTCAATTGTTATACATACTAGGTTCTGTTGTGCAGCTTGTTCAAGAAACTTCTGCGCTTGTTCTATATCGCCTTGATCTGAAAAAAGAAATCGAAAGTTAAGTTGAGAAAATGAAAAAGGTTTTTTTTTCAACGAAGATGTCGACAAATAAAGAAGTTTTATAAACATTTACCAGACGATGTGGTCTTTTCCAAAATAGTTATTAAATCCATTATGCATCGAATATTGGTACAGACTGATTGGCAAATGTCCAAAATCAAAATCTAACACTTTATTTAAGTTTTTCCGGCTTTCCCTTTCCGTGCAAGGTGAACTCCATGTGGGAATGCGCATTAATTCGCTGAAAGGCCACCGGTACATTGGAGAAGAATCTTTACAGACGTTTATTTTCATTGGTTAAAAAGTGGCAAATGACTAATTGTGATAAAGTTTAGACCAATCATTTACGCGGTTAGAAAATCTGGACTATTTTTTAGATTATTGTCAAATTAGGAGCTTTATTGACATTTTCATGTTTCATAATTATGTAAAAAGCATAAATTTATATGAAAAGATGTTTGTAAAAGCAATCAATACGTAGAAATATAAAAATACACTCTTGATGTGAATTGGTATTGAGAACTACTTTTTGTCTGAAATTAGGTTATTAAATATCGCTCATTTCCCGCGAAAATCACTGTTAAATAAGTTCCGACAATTAAACGATAATCTCTTATAAAGATATGCTATGCATTTTTGTATAGATCTATAGGTCTGGAGCAAAAACAGGTTTATCATGACCTTAATTGATACTTTAGATGCCCTTTACTGCCATTATAGAGACTCGTGACGCAGTAATAAGAAGGCATCAAGGGTTGACCAGTTGTGGAAACATTTTTCTAAGTATTACTGATCGGCTTTATCTAAAACAATGTTAGTAGTACTAGTAACACATTTTTGGCAGAAAATGTTTAGTTTGACGCCTTTGAAAATATTCATTTGGGCAGTTACGAAAAAATGGGGGAAACGTCCTTTTTCATGTTTGGCTTTTTCCTTAAGGTATCCGGCCGTTTACTCAATTAACGCACGGATTTATAAATCCGTGATTAACGCAAGAAGATTAATAGTTACTCTCTTGCATCAGCACATGTTTCATTTACAAGTTTTCAGTACGGAACTTAGGGTTAAACAGTTGTCTAAACTTGAGAGGTGGGGGGGTCTGCTTCACTTATATATAAGAAGTTAATTAGTTACACCTTTTCACTCATATATAAGAATAATTTGATGAGTTAAACCATTTCAATCATAGATAAGAAAAAGTTATACATTTTCATTGGGAAAAATTGGAAAATGTTCTGCTTTTGCGCACGACATTATTCATGCAGTAGCACGGTACTAAAGATTGGCCAAATGTTCAAAACTTTTGGGGAACATTTTTCTCCACGTTTCCGAAAAGCTATTTATAACTTTGAATACAAAAAAAATGACAATTAATTACACATTTTCAGCAGTAAGGTAATCTATATCAAGCTAATTAAGTACAGGCTGTCATAAATATTCATAAGTGTGATTGAATAAGTGAATGAAACGTCCAATTATCGATGCGAACAATTTTCAAAACTTTTTTTAGCCCACTACTTTGCTCTACTAGAAATATATGAAAGTTAGAAATTTTCGGCAAAAAGTTCAGTTTTGTGCGCTCGACAATATTCATTTGTGTGTGTGGGTTTAATTAAGGGATTTTAAGGGTAAATGAAAAATGGAAAAATAATCTAATTTTAGAGATACATTACCACACATTTCAGATCCACTTCAATTCAGCATATGGATTTGACAAGCACATGTAGTTTGCTTTTATTCAGCAGAAAAAAATCTGGTTTACACACAAAAATGTCATGTTTAGTGCAGTCGTATATATTCTTTAGCGTGGTTCTAATGGTTGACAAATAATTAAGTGAACGAAATGTCCAATTTTCGTGCGGAACATTTTCCCCGTTTAACTCGAATTTGTTTACATTTTCAGTTGTACGCAGTTGAAAATATTTACTAGTACCGAGTAAAGGATTAACAAGTTGCCCAGAACTTGAGTGAACCATTTTTCTCTACGTTTACGATCTGATTAACTCATATTCAAAATAAGATTTTAAGTGTCACATATTCCGTTTCACTCGAATGCATGAAAGACATGAAAAGTTACCCTTTAAACATAAAATGTTCAGAAGATAATCAGTTGATGAATTAATTGGTGCACTCGAGAACATTCATTTGCGCGGTTGTGTCAGACTCGCTGCACTCCATTCTCTCTGAAGTGTAATGATTTAATGAAGAAATATCGAGTCCTTTTGATTATTATAATCATAACCACGGGGGTGAAACCCTATATGTATCTCAAAAATGAGCATCGGTAAAAATTGTATGTGAATTTCCGCTGCACCAGACGTGAAGCATAACACCAGATGTGACTGTAAAAATAGGTCAATCGCAGGGTAAGTTTTCATCTTTTTAAACATTTATTTAAAATTCAATCCTTTTTTTTAAGAAAACCAAAATGTGATTCTACCCTCCTGTTTCCCAATTTTGTTTTGGATTTCTATGCACTCTTCATCGAGATATTCTCTCCGTCGTGGGTTCTGGTGTGTCCAAAACATGCAATGTGACTGACGGATGCCTTCTGAAAAACATATTTCCTGCAACAGTTCTAACAGAAAGGTGAATCCATTTAAAGAAAATGCCTGCATGTAATTTATCCAGAGCATTACTGAATATCCCGTTATTTGCATTCTTATGCCTGGCTATATATATGGTATACCGGTTTACACGATTTTGGATAACGCGAAATGTAGATATGTGCTTCTCATGGTTATTTGATTCTTTTACATAATTATTTAATGAATCACTTTTAACAGTATTTTTCATATCTTTAGGTATTTTTGAAATTCCTTGAAAACACAACATGTAAATATCTTATATCAGGATAAAAAACTGTTTAAATCACAAATTATTTCTAATTTTTATCTATGTCAGTTGGGCACTAATTCACGTTGAAATTTTGGGATAGTATAGGAAATAAGGACAGAAGATGTGAAGGATTTCAGACAGCGCTTTTAGAACAGCATTGTCCGTCATTCTGTGATACATTTGGCTGCTTCTGGAGGATGTTTGTCAGGTAGTTTGTTGCTGTTCCATCCAGAAATGTACAGGATAATTTAAACCAACTTTAACAAGCATCCAGGTTTTTAATATTTTTTTCTTTGATTGTTGAGAGTGTTGAAATACGTCATCCCCCCAAACTATTTATATGTATACTGTGTAACAACAATAGGATTGGCGACAAATCACATTAGTTGTTTTATTTGTATGATTACGTCATATCTGTACGTATGTACACACTATTTTAAAATTTCATATTATTAATCATTTATATAAAGCAACAAACTGTAAAGAAAAGATAAAAATAATAATTTTATTATTATATTACTGTTTTTATTGACAAGCGCGAGTAAAACTTCGCAAGACGGACATTTGTATAACACATTGTTCTTTTATATACAATATGAAGTAAAGTGTGAAGATATTGAATAGGAAATGTCGACTAATGCTCCTTTTGACTCATGTTCATAAAACAGCAAAGATAAATATTTTGTTTGTTTGTTTCTTTTTACGCCTTTTCCCAACAGTATTTCTGTCATATAGGCGGGCAGTTTCCTAACCATCGTTCACAGGAACTTGAAATTCTATCAAATAACCAATATCAATGATAATATCCAAATATACCCCCGATATACTATAATTTTTTTTATATAATATGGGGGCATATTTTGCATATTATCTTTAATATTGATAGAATTTCAAGTTCCTGTGCCATCGTTCGTGGAGAGTGACACCAGTTACTAGACTACCTTCCTCCGTTCTAAACTACCAAATAAAAAAAAAAAGGTTGTTATAATTATGTTGCATTTATAGTGACTTACTTTCGGTTTCAGTTTATTTCTAGTAATATAGGCCTCCGGCCCAAAATAAATGTACAACAAGACAATCAAACAGTAGAGTGGTAAATTGCAAATAAATTTGTAACTAGATGTAATGAATTGATTTTGTAAATAATTCATCGTCGGATACCCACGTTTGATAAACATGTTACATACTGATAAATGTTAATGGTTCGGCCGTGGGTATCCGACGATGAAATAATTATACAGTATTTAGCTCTTGCTTTCTTACATTCATTGCTTGATATAAATTTTTAGCAATAGATATTACCTTAGAAGGTTATCGTTGATTTTATTTGAAAGAAAAAACAAAAAAATACAAAATACATTCGTAGGAGAAAATATTTTTATTTAAAATCTACATATAACAAGAAACATGGCAATGCCATTAAACCAGGTTTTCAATTATCACCATTGTAGATAAATATGTTGTATTTGAAATACAAATACAAGCAACAAACAATGTAACTATGTGCAATGTAAAACATGAATAATGTAGGCGGAATTGCGCACAGAAGAAGTGTTCACTATATATATTCTGTATAAGGAAAAAAAAAACAAAGGGCCATAATTAGGTAAAATATCATCCAATCACAAAACCCCGACAATATGTACCAGGGCACTTGATGACAAAGCTTCTGTGAAAGTTTCAACAAAATCCGTTGAGAAATGTAGGAAGAGTTCAGCACAGAAGAATTTGTTCAATTCTGTATAAGGAAAAAAACAAAGGGCCATAATTAGGTCAAATATTATCCAATCACAAAACCCTGACAATATGCGCCAGGGCACTTGATGACAAAGCTTCTGAGAAAGTTTGGTCAAAATCCGTTGAGAAATGTAGGAGAAGTTGCGCACTGTAGAAATTGTTCACTATATATTCTGTATAAGGAAAAAATATACAAAGGGCCATAATTCGGTCAAATATTATCCAATCACAAAACCCCGACAATATGTGCCAGGCACTTGATAACAAAGCTTCTAAGAAGGTTTGGTCAAAATCCGTTGAGAAATGTAGGAGGAGTTGCGCACAGAAGAAATTGTTCACTATATATTCTTTATAAAGAAAAAAACAAAGGGCCATAATTAGGTCAAATATATACCAATTGCAAAACCCTGACAATATGCGTCAGGGCACTTGATGACAAAGCTTCTGAGAAAGTTTGGTCAAAATCCGTTGAGAAATGTAGGAGGAGTTGCGCACAGGAGAAATTGTTCACTATATATTCTGTATAAGGAAAAAAAAAACAAAGGGCCATAATTAGGTCAAAGATTATCTAATCGCAAAACCCCGACAATATGCGCCAGGGCACTTGATGACAAAGTTTCTGTGAAAGTTTGGTCAAAATCCGTTGAGAAATGTAGGAGGAGTTGCGCACAAAAGAAATTGTTCACTATATATTCTGTATAAGGAAAAAATATACAAAGGGCCATAATTCGGTCAAATATTATCTAATCGCAAAACCCCGACAATATGCGCCAGGGCACTTGCTGACAAAGCATCTGTGAAAGTTTGGTCAAAATCCGTTGAGAAATGTAGGAGGAGTTGCGCACAGAAGAAATTGTTTACGCCCGCCCGCCGGTCCGCCGACATACCTCAATCTAATAACCAGTTTTTTCCTTCGGAAAACCTGGTTAAAAATGGTGAAAACATTTTTTAAAATATATTTTTATTTCTTTTTTATGTTTTGAATAACCCCAAATGACAGGATATAATAAACATAGCGCCAAATGACGTCAGCGAGGAAACCAATAACAAATGTCATTGTTACAGTTTTGCTTATCTTTCTTATTATTTTTTTTATAATTTTTCTTAATTTGTAAAACATTTTTATTGATAGAACCCTTTTAGGTACGGAATACGGTTATGACCATCGTGGTTATACGTTAAAATCCAGACAGCTGCGATGACGACAATACGATAGTGTGATGACGACAATACGACAGTGCGATGGCAACAATGCGATAACACGATAACGACAGTACGATAATATGACAATGCGATACCACCATGGCGACAATGTGGTGGTGACAGTGCGATAACGACAGTGCAAAAATGCGATGGCGACAATACGGCAATGTGATAATACTATCACGTTATTGCATTATCGTACTGACGTCATCGCATCCCACTATCGCATTGTCGCCCTCCGGATTATAACATATAACCACGATGGCCCTAACGGTATTCCGTATCTAAGAAGACCGCAAACAAAACTTTATTTTCAAAGATTTTCCTTTTCCACAATCAGTCTCTGTTTGGATTGACGTTTGAATCACAATAGATAATTAGATCCGTCTTGGATTTTACATTGAAACAAACAAATACGGGTATTATCTTCAGAAATATTTATAAATGTTTTCCAAATAAATCTGTCAGGAACAATAAAAATAACATGTTTTTCACAAACAACAAAAAAACAACAATAACAACAAAAAGAAAAGTAAAAAACAAAACAAAAAAAAACAAGGAAAAGAAAAACTCACGCACGCATAAACGCGCGGGCACACACACACACTCACACACACACACACACACACACACACACACACACACAGACGCACACACGCACACGCACACACACACATACCCCATAGCATTTGGAAATTTGAGTTGATTGATAGTTTGTTTAAAAATGATAAAAGAAATTGCAATATTTCACCCCAGCTGTAGTATTCAATCTTGAACATAAAATAAAACAGCTCATAACGAAGCCTGTTTTGAGAATCAAATCCTTGAAATGTCCTTATAGGAAATATTTGTTACTCCCATTCAATTAACTACTTTCTAAAAATGGATTCTGTAGATTTAGCCTCTTATTGTCAAAACAGTGTAAGATTTGTTCTTTTGAAAAAGGGGACAATTATACTGAACATTTTAAATAAACATGGTTTTATTATTCTTATTGCATTCTTAACATACAATAGACATGAACAAGGATAATTGTAAACTCTCGAGGTCTCTTGAAAGGGTAAACATACTCATAGTTGATGATTAGTAACGGATCGTTTTTTATTTTATTTTTTTTAGGCAAATACATTATACGTACAGTCACTTAAATTTGAATAATGTTTTATGTTTACTCATATAGGTTTTATCTTTCCAATGATGCGAAATAATTTTATCCACATTATGATTTTATAGTTTAAGAATCTATTGTTATTCAGTGTAATTTTACGGGTTTAAGGAAGAGAACATTTTAAGGGTTTTTACTGTAAAGCAATAATACCAGAAACTCTTTAAGTATTTTAGAACAAGAGTAGCAATAGTTTCTTATTTTAGCAATTTCAAGTTGTAATATGCATATGAATATGGAATGAGAAGAGAGGTAACTCTGTAAGTGATATTGGACATTCTTGCAGAGTTGCCTCCCTTCCATTAGATAAATTTTTATAGTCTCTTGTAATTCTGATAAAAATGGCCGTACATAAATAACTTTTACTTTGTAAAATTATGTCATTGAATTGTTTTATGTTGTTATGTATGGATGAGACTCAAATAAAGAATATATATACAATGAATTCAACATTCACAAATGTTATTATAAATCATACATCGTTTACATCATTTGTATATATTTAACAGTTTGTGTATGTATTTGTGAAATAAATACATAATCATTCCAAACATTCAGGCGGCTTATTTCCTTATACAACATCATATTCAAAGATATACTATGCTTAGACTTGATACTTGAAAATATTGATAACTGCTACACGGTCTTTCTGTAAATATAAAATAAATCACACAAAGTAGATATGTTATGCTTTAAATCCTACATGCTATAACTTGACACAATATGAATAGCCATTAGATAAACTGGCAGTTGTTATGAAAGGACCGGCTTTACATGACCCCTGATGAGGATTCCCACACATAGTACGTGTGCTCTTTTATTCAATTAAGACATATTCAATAATAATTTTACACATTTCAATAAATTTCTGCAATAAAAATATTTTACCAAAAGTTTAGCATATTATGTCTTTAACATTTTCAGAAATTACATTAATATCAGACTTAAGGGTTTGTGAAACTTTGATTTTTTAACCACTAATGCACTCCTTATACTGTTCTGTATTACCCTGCAAATCAAATTATAAACAAAACAATGAGCAAAAAAATTGAACTCAGATATGAGATTGGTTTATAAGATAACTCAAGGCATATGATATGCAACTTGTTATAACAAACAAACAAACAGAAAAATAACAGTCAAAAATCACTAATATCACAATAAAAGAATCAATTATGACTAGCTAAATAAACAAAAAGGTAATGTATGACAAATGCGAGACAAAATCCTTACCAATGGTAGGATACTACGTCATCGTGCACCTGCAAAATGCTCCCAATCGGACTATTTTCTTTTTTTTGTAAACAAGTCGTCGACTCAATGATAAAAACATTATGTTATTATTCTAAAAAATCGTTAGAATATAGCGCACCAAAGACTGCCTTTAGTACTTGATATAATTGTAAAAACGTTTAAAGTTTACTGCCTAGTTTAGTCCTGAATGCGGGATAAAGTTTTTTTTTAATTCTACATATACTCCCACACAAAAGTTATTCCACCAGACAAAAAAAATTTACAGTTGTATCAAGTACTTAAGCCAATCTTTGGTGCCCTACATTATTTTTTTTATATTCGAATAAAGAATATTTTGTCTTCGACTGGACGGGATAACAGTCCAATTGGGAGAAGTTTGCAGGTGCTCGATGACGTAACTTATCCTTGTCCATTCATTACAGAAGTCCAAACATAAAAAAAGTCAATACAACTCATGCTGGAACATAATTGTAAATAGCTACACAAATCTTTCAATCCATTTAATTGAAAAGCCATCAAACTGGCGGTTATCTCAATGACATCTCTAATGGTTAAAGGCAAAACACTCTTTCTTGTATGACAAAATATTTTGTTATCACAGATTGTGTCCCTTTTAATACGTTTGAACGTATATCAGTACATTTCTAATGGAATTTAAACGCTCTTTGCACATTGACCAAATCTGATTTGACTATAGTACGTGTTTTCGGGTGGAAAATAAACAAATTGTCGTCTAAACCTCTCATATATGCTGCCATGGTACCAAACCCGCTTTGAGTTATGAGTAAGATATCGCATAATGACAGTATAAACTGTTCTAAAATAGCTGTTGCCAATCCTTTGCAAGATTCTGATTTTATAGCTTTTAATTTTCCAAGTCTGTCGACATGAACTATTGTTCGATTAATGTTGATATATGATTTTATATTTTTTCTAGCAAGTTGTTTTATTTCTTCCGAGTCGGAGGCAACATATATAGCGTTTTGCACTTCTTTTTCGAAAGACTTTAAAAACTGCAGAAGCATAGTTCCATTAGATACTTTAAGAATTGCATCTGACGGTATACTTGGATTTCGGCCCATTCGGATGTGACTACAGACCAGTTGTTTGCCTTGCACGTGTTTATCATAGAATTCACTTGCATCGTTCAATATTGTTTCACCAGGTTTAAACAATGTGTGAAGTACTAAATGAATGGCCTTTTCATTTGTAACATTTAAAAGCCACTTTAATCTTGATGTGGCAAGTTTGTGTTTTCTTACTTCATCTATTGCGTAGCTGTTCACCCTTACAGCTACAACTTGTTTTGGCCATGTACGGCTGAAATCAGAGCTTTGTAGTGTTTCCTTTATCTTTCCTAAATTATCAATATAGTTTAATTGAATATAATTTCTTTTAGACACGGTTTTAACAAAGTTGTAACACAAAGACCAATCGTAACTGTTTGGAAGTAAAATATTATCTAATTTACAAGGCTTGTCCATGTCGATTACAAAAACTCTATTTGTAAGTACGGCCATTAAGAATGTTGAAATTATTCCTTTCTGGCGGTCACCCCAACCTCCGCAATACATTGATGAATCACATTTGTAGACAAGAAACCTTTGTTTTTTGCAATAAGAAATGTCTGATAATTTAATATTTTGCAATACACCATCTCTTAACGTTTGTCCACCTTTAAACGCCAAACAACCATTTTCTTTCACAATACGTCTACTCCAAAGTGTTGGGCGATTGAATCTTTGTGAAAAATTCCCGCTTTGGTACTTTGAAGTGTTTTCCTGTAGCATGTTCCCGCTTTGGTACTTTGAATTGTTTTCCTGTAGCATGTTCCCGCTTTGGTATTTCGAAATATTTTCCTGTAGCAGCGTTTTGGCAATATCAAAATTTGAGAATACCACGTACAGGAGAATTGTAAATGCAACTCCCAGTCCCTGAAAGTAGGTAAACATTTGTCATAGTTATTGAAATAAATAAAGAAAATTCCTATGATTGATATATAAAGTATAAAATATGATCAAAATGACCTACATTTTAAGAGGTCGTTCGAAATGATTGTGCGGAACAATTCATTATTCAATCTTTGCTGCTTTTATGACAAAAATTTTCACATTTAGCGCGACCCCATTCAGGTAACAATCATCTAAAATGTTTAAAAGTATAAAACTCCACTTGCACTTTCTAAGGAAGTAGACATTCATTCTTATCTGAGACATAATGGGCCTTTAACGTACTCTAACTCTACATTATCAACATTTTGTTAGTTTCATGTGTCAATTATGATATTAAAATAGAGAAAAACAAAATCCCTAAAGAACGCTCAAAACGGCAAAATTGAAACTTTTTATGGCTCGGTGTAACTGAGCCTGTTCATGAACGGCAATGGAAAATGCAAGGTACCGTTCACTAACACTTTTACCGTCTTAAGCATGATTCAGAATTAAAACATTTTGTTTTTGGAAACATCTGCAAACGACATAATTACTAAAATATTTGAGCCGTGTCACAACAAAACCAACATAATGGGTTTGCGACCATCCGCGCAGTCTGATCAGGATCCATGCTGTTCGCTTACAAACCCTATAATAAGTAGAGAAACTGATAGCGAACAGCATGGATCCTGATCAGACTGCGCGGATGCGCAGGCTGGTCTGGATCCATGCTGGTCGCAAACCCATTGTGTTGGTTTTGTCGTGACTCGGCTCATTTCACGTTTTGAACACAAATATTGAATAGGCTACGATCTCAGCCAATCGATTTATGGAATTAAAATGCCAATCAAGTACAAGTAAAAATATGTAATGGTTAGAATAGATAGACAATTCAAATGATAAAATCTATACTTGCTTCAGTTCCGATGTAAACAACATATGAGCCGTGTCACGACAAAACCAACATAATGGGTTTGCGACCAGCATAGATCCAGACCTGCGCATCCGCGCAGTCTGATCAAGATCCATGCTGTTCGCTATCAGTTTCTCTACTTGTAATAGAGTTGGTAAGCGAACAGCATGGATCCTGATCCTGATCAGGATGGTCTGGATCCATGCTGGTCGCAAACGCACTATGATGGTTTTGTCACGACACGGCTCATATGTACTTTGCATGTTACGTTAATATACGTTAAAGCAACACGCCTCCAGATTCATATTAATTTTCATAAAAATTTTGGAAATGTATTTAAAAGTAAAATATTGTGAGGTAAACAAATAGAGCAATTTACATATTGCAATCGGCATTTACAATCCAAGAAAATTACCAAAAAGTGGTCAACATATATATATGCAAAAAAACAAACAAACAAAAACAACAGCCGTTACTGCATTAGAAACGCGGTATAAATATGGTGACAAAATACTTTAACTGCGCATAACATGCAAAAAAACTTGGATCTTGAATGTTACCTTTCTTAAAATCTGAGTACATTTTTCTCAATAATTATTTTCTTGAGATATTATGGCTCATCTGGAGGCGTGCAGCTTTAAAACACCTGTCCTTTCAATAAAATATGTTACATAATTTCAGTTTGACTTGAAATAGGGAAAAAACGCCGAAAACGACAAAAAATGAAAATGTTGCAGACTCGGTTTGATTGAGCCTGTTCATGGACGGTACTGGAAAGTGCAATGTAGCCCCCCCCCCCCCCAGCACCGGCTTAAGTAGAATAAGGAAAGTACATGTATATGGCATTTTATAATTAGTTCCTTATTTCATTAAGATCATACTCTTAAATAAGTTGCATCACACTTCAGTGACAGTCTGTGAATGGAAGAAAATTAAAAAAAGTGCAGCATTTCTCATCCCCAGCACAGGCTAAATTAGTTTATAAATTAAAATTGATCATTTAGTCACTAAATAAGCGTTATAGACTCCGACATGTTCTTTTATAAAACATCGATTGATGAGCGCATTCAAAATGTGGTAGAGGACATTTTCCATCAATCTACTTACTGTTCTAAGTGAATCAAATGCGTATTGACATTGAAATGATTACGTTGACATTGAAATGATTACGTTGCTATTCATTAACTGCTTAATAAATTAATGTAAAATAGAGAAATTGAAAAAAATGCAGACTGGCTTTGATTGAGATAAATAATGGGCGAGGCTGGCTTTGATTGAGATTGTTCATAAAGCCAGTGGTACCTACAAATCATTTCATTTACCGCAAAATTTACTGCAAAATTTACTGATGTCACATCGTTATTTAGTCATAAATAGCGTCACTTGGCTGTATATCAAAATGCACATTTTGTAATGAATTCGAAAGAAAAATAAAACGTTTTGTTCACAATTAAGAAAAATGGCCGAAAATTCTATTGACGGCAGATTTTGGGCCCGCAGTTTATACCGGGCCTAGACACCCTCCAGAAACGGAAATGGACTGTTAGTTCTGGCTTCCAAAATTTTATAAGCCACTTTTTAAACATTTTTTCTTTCTGTTCTGGTACAGTTCATTGAGTAAATGAAGGCAATAGTACTGGTAAAATACTTGAAGTCTCCTTAGGAATGATGCGGTGGCTAAACTGTGCTCTGGTAAATTCAATGTTGCTTACTGTTGTGATCCGTAGTACCAACCACCAACATAAACTTTCGTTAAATGTTTGCATAAACCAGACACCAATGACCATCATTAATGCTTGTTATAAAGTAGTGTTCATATGTTTGGCCTTGTCGCAACATGTATTTGTCATTTCGGACACTAAGTCACTAACTGTAAGTAAATGAAAAGACATTTTCAAAAGCATCTCTCTGTTCCCTTTCTTTCCTGGTTAACTAGGACTTCTGAATGTAAGTGGTTCATGTATTTCTATCTTATATGCCCTCAGGATGCATTTTCCTATCTTATATGCCCTCAGAATGCCTTTTCCTATCTGTTATGCCCTCAAGATGCCTTTTCCTGTCCGTCCTTAAATTAACGTTACATCACTGATGGCAATGGTATATTGGAATAACGAAGGTAAGTCAAAACATAAGGTAGACAAATTTTAACATTATCTGCCCACTGATCACTAAAGTATATATTTTATTATGACAGTGCTTTTAAATTCTATCTAGAAAACATGATAGTACCAAAGGATCTTTTTCTATACAATATACTTTATCAAGCAATAGTTCCACAAAATAACCACCCAGGCTTGAACTTTGGGAGTTACAGATCTTTCTTACAAGCAAATGTATCTGCTATAAATGTTTTGTCCCAAAAGATTTTGCGACGTAAAACATGAACATGTATGTTTGGATTTATTTCTTCTTCAAGATAAAGTTTTTCCAAGCAGCAGATATCCCTTAGTATCCCTTTTCTCAAACACGAATACGAACAGAAGATTCGAACAGAAGATTCGCTGTCATCGATTGACTCAGGAACCTTGTGTCCATCTGGAACAAAAGATCACTGTTTTTGATGGAGATCAAATAGATTAGAGATACTACATTTTGTAAATATTGATCAACATATATTAATAAGTATGAATTAAACATCAACCAAATAAGATAACAGTAAAAATATTAAATTATATTATTACATTGCTTTTTATTAAATTTTAATGATTGTTGAGTTAAACTTAATTTAAAACAAACGGCCATCATTCAAAATAAGACAAAGTTTGATGACTATAAGTTTGTTAGTTTTATTATCTCGCAATTTACAACAAGTTTTAAAAGCTACCTGTATGATCTTGCCATTATCATATTTGGCAATGACACAAAGAAATTCCTAAACAGTCATTTTGAATTTTACTTGTGTTCCCACAATGGTCAACTTTATAAAAAGCGAAAAATAAATCAAAATTGAGTACCAAAAATAATAAACCAAATGTTAGACTTATGTTCCGGATTTGCTTCCGTAGAACAAAAGATCGTCAACAACCGAAGTAACATTATCGATTCATTCTTTTTGTTTCGTATAAATAATAATTAAATGACACATGGCGATGCTATCGAAGGAAAAGCAAATAATACGCGTGTAGGTGATTTGGTTTTGCATGTAATTTTAAAGTATTTTTATAATAGTATTTTTTTTTACAATGACGCAAGCATAAACTCGAAATTTCGAGTTAGTAAGTCGAAATTTCGAGTTAGTAACTCGAAATTTCGAGATAAGTAAGTCGAAATTTCGAGTTAATAAAAAACATACACCTGGCATTAATGCTCTTCCGTAACTATTCGCTGATTTCTATATTGTTTAAACGTTATCGTGGAAAAAAATACTGGGTTAATTTAAACCTACCTATATCACGTAAAAACCTTGTACTTTACTGGCATGCGAGCAGTTCCCGTACAGAAGCAGTACCCGTATTTTTCATTTAAACGCTTGATTTTTACTTGCATTCTTCAAAAATTCATTTCAAATCAAGCAGATACATAAACGAGACAAAATCTAAGTGTCAGTTCGGCAGTACGTATAAAAAGTCTCATTTTAAATCACTTTCACCTGTGCGTCGTCAAAACTTGACCTTGTTTTCTCGGGGGGATTCCGTCCTTGCGCGCATGCGCAAAAATACTTACACGTGAGGCTTGTTAAAGGGTTTTCCACTAATACCACCTGTTTACAGATAAGTAGGCAATGTGATCAAAACTTGTTTAAATATCAGAATTTTGACCAATATTACTATATAAAATAATTTTATGGCTTTGATGCGTAAAATATCATGCATACAAGCATGCTATTGCATGAGAATGCGTTGGGGTAACGGTACCGGGTAATAGATATGGCTGCGTTTAGTCTACGCTCTATTTTCTGAATTACATCTATTTATCTCTTAGATAATGGTCTGTTCAACAATTGTAAATGAAAAATAGGTCCGATATAATAAAATTGTATAATTATAATGGGTTAGATTTTATGTACGGGAACTACTTCTCTCCATACAAAATAATGGATAATTTCGGTACCCCATATGAGGCCTCATAAGTAAGGGTTATTCTATGTTTA